TATCACCAGTATTTTTATTAGATAATCTGAATTCCCCATCAAAATTTTTAAAATGTTCTTCTCTGAGGCCACTCTAACTCTTTAGTTATTATTGTCATTATTTACTTTAAGTGCCAAGGACTTTAAAATTCTTAGACTATCTTAGTAATTGTTATTAAAAACTTGCAAATACCCTAGCATATGTCTGGGGCCCATATATCTCTCAGTCTGTACTTGTACCTGAGAAGATGTAGATTAGAAATGATCTAGACAACAAGATTCTTTGGTTAAAATGAGTGAAACTTGGGAGAGGAAAAGTGATTTCCTGATGAAGAGGCTGTCATGAGAAAATAATAGGTTGTATGTGTGTACATGTTTATATATATGTGTGATAGGCAGGCATTTGAGAAAATAGTTTTGACAACAGTATTTGATTTGTATATGCATGTATTACATATTTTAGCACACATCTGAGTACATGTTTAATAGACAACAAAACTAGAAAGTTAGGTTGTGGTAAGGCTGTATTATGGCCTTTAATATGATGCTAAGGAATTACAAATTATATGGTATATAAAGTGATAATATGGTGTCAGTTAGGAAAGAAACAGCCTACCAAGGGGCAAAAAGTGGCACTTACATTGAACCAAAGTTTCTGGAAACCTTTTTTTGACTGCCAGAGATAAAACTAATTTCATATGACCAGAGTGCAGAGCAAAGGTGGACAAAAAAATGAAAGTATTTTCCATGTGATATATAATACTTTTATATTAAATTTAGGATTTCATGAAAGTGAAATATGAATACCTTTGACAGCCAATACCTTTATCAGACACCTTTTCTGTTAAATATCATAAATGCCCTTTGTTTTTAAGATTTTATCTTTGATTTTTATTGGTTGACTATGATATGTATAGGTATTATTTTCTTTTTAGTTTTTCTTGGGATTTTCTGAGTTTCTTGGTTTTGTGGGTTCATGTCTTTCATCAATTTTGGAAAACCCTCAGCCATTTGTTGTCTCTGCACCATTTTTTTCCTGCACCATCTTCTTTGGCTTTTCCTTTTAGGACTCCAATTAGATGTGTGTTAGATTGTTCATTTTTGTCCTGCTTTCTTATATGTTCTCATCTGTTTGTTTTTTCTTTTTCTTGTCTTGTTAGTTTTGTCATTGTATTTGAGTTGGGATAATCCTGCTGACCCCTTTTAGAATTCATCTATCCTTTTTATGCAATGCCCGTTTCGACTGGTAAGCCCATTCAATGGACTTTCCATTTCAAGTATTTTATTTTTCTGCTATAAACTTCTTTTAAGTTCTCTCCTGAAATTTTCCTCCCTTTCACTGCTTATTTCCATCTTTCCCTCTATTTCCTTATCTGAATTATAATGATTGTTTAAGATATTTATTAATTCTAGCACCTGGGTCATCTGTTTCCATTGAATGTTTTCTTTTGTCATGAATTACATTTTTCACACTTCTATGGATGTCTCACAGTTGTTATTATTATATGCCAGACATTGTGTGTAAATACATTTCAAAGACTGAAGTAGAAAATACCCCTTCCCCCTCACCTCCACACCCCTTTCCCCCCACACAAAGTATCTCTGTCAGGCATTTTGGGATTTTCTGAGTTTCTTGGGAACTTCTGAGTTTGGGCAAGGGGCTGATCTCTTTGATTAAGTTAAGTTGGGCAAAGTTTGGTTTAGGTGGTTGTTTTGGTTAGTTTTAATTCACCACTTGATTTTCAAATTTTTGAAGTGTAAAAGATCATTCCTTCCAGCTGGGCTTGGTATCCAAGCATCATGTAACTGAGATTCTGTTCTACAGCCCAGCTTGGCCTCAAGATTTCTGTGCCACTGGAGATATCTCTTTGACTCTCAGCCTGGGACCAATTGATCACACTGGATAAAAGTCCTAAGGTTGAGAATTGGTAAATAGGAAGGATTCACCCTGTGCCTGAGGCTCAGATGTAGTCAGTATTCCACATGGGCCTGAGATCGTTAAAGGTTCAGCCAGTTTCTTTTACCTGCAAAGCCTCCTGCTCAGTGACCCGTCTGCTTCTCCGCCTGTTCCCGAGGCTGAAGCTGCCTCTAGTACTGGCTCTTGTATGAAGGGCTTCTCTTCTGAGACTGAGTTCTCTAAGCTTCTTTGTGTCCTCAGCTCCCCAGTCGGTTAAAAAATATACTTAGGTTTGTAATTTAACCGGTGATTTTTCCTTGTTATGGTGAGAATTAAGGCCATATATGACCATCTCCCTAATAATAAGAAGCAGTTATCTGAAGGTCTTCTGTTCTGAAATTATCAACTTTTTTTTCAGACTACAAAAACAATAATCATTCCAAAACTTTCAGAAAGTCCAGAAAATTGGGAATACCTCATCAATGTGCATTTCATGTTTGAAAAATATGAATTTTTATCATTTTGTAAGGCTACCCTAACGCTCTCTGAGTTGCTTCCATTTAAAAGTGTTTGATGCGAAGTGGAAAGAATTTTCTTTATCTTCCCATCCTCTATGAAACCTTCAACCTTCCAAATTCTTGTTTGTTTCTTGGATTCGGCTTGTTCTCCTCTTGTTTCACAAGCACTTTCTATGATTTGGAAGGTCAAATGCATCACTCTTACGTTAACACAGTGAAGGCAGTTCTGCGGTGCCTCTTCCTTAAAAAAAAAGAGAAGCTTTTTATGATACTCAGAAAATTAAGGCACCCCAAGGAAATTATGACTCCCTCTACAAGGACTCTCATGATGAGATAACACTGGTAGTTGGGGGCATACTGATACATTTATTTCCCTTATTATGTATATTCAAGCATAAAGCTACTAAAAATATTGATGGAAATGTCACATCATATTCTAGCTTCAGAAGCAGTGAGGTTTGAGGGAAGGATCAGAGGTACAATGAAACCGAAGGATCCTTTCTTGCCAAAGAAGAAAAGAATGAGTCCCAAGCTACACATTATAGGGCAAAAGATCTCTCCCATGATATACAGCAAGGGAAAGGCCCTAAAAGAATAAATAAGATAAGACAACTGCTGTCAGATAAAGTAAATTCCTTTAGTTGATAACATATAGCTCTTATCCTTTTCAGTCAATATCAGTGACAGATGTTGTCTTGGCTCATGTCCTTACTGTTCTTAGGGGCTGTCAGGGTAGTTGCATGTGACTCCTTTAGCCTGTAAAACAGGTTGAAGGGAAGTTCCTGTTGTGCATGAGGACTGTTGTCTTATCTACATTGTCACAGGAGGAACAGTGCTGTGTGGTGTTACTAGGATACGTTTGTTAGCCTCGAATTGTTTCTCATGCACAAAATGATGCTAGTGCTTTATATATTTATAGATGAGCTTTAACGTTAATGTGTTCTTTCCTTCTTTGTTAAAGGAAATTATAATCTAAGTCACTTAGAAATAGTTGGGATAAAGTCTTTAAATAAATAAATAAATAAATGTGTGCATTTCCTATTCTTATGAACATTTTCTGATTTGTTGTCCAAATCGATAATTGTATCAACTTTGTGAGGAAGATTCTTATATCTTGTTTTGTATTGATGAGGACACGCAGTGCATGGGAATTCAGATACAAAAAAAGAAGTGACTTTCCCAAGACCACAAGAAAATTAATGATAGAATTGGGTCAGTACAGTTCACATTCTTATTTTATTTATTTTGAATACATCATTGAATAAGATAAAGTTAGTGTAAGAGAGACACAAGTTTTCACTTCTAAATGCAGGGATAAAAATAGATCAAATTGCTGTAATAGCATCAGTTCAGCTTTTTTTTTTAATGATGATCCAAATTCTGACTGTATTTTCCTCCTCTTCCTCATTTAATGTTTATTCTGTTATTACAAAGGTTACTCACAGCCAAGTAGCCAAATGAAAAGTATGGCTTGATTAAGAATCTATTTTGTCAGTAATTTGTGCCTAATGTTTTTAGCTTTCCCATGGGCTGTTGTAGAAAATGGTAAATCTGGTTTAAATGAAACCTGATCCTTTTAATGGTTTAATAGCAGCTGCCACAGGGTTATGGCATTTTTCAACAGATGCTTCTGTTTCATTTTAAACATAAACTAAGTCTTGGAATATTTACATAAATCATATAAAATATGCCTACACAATGTTGACTAAATATATTGTTATAAAGTAGTCTTAAGCAAGGCCCTATCTTTGCACATTTATAATTATTCGCACAAAATTTGGAAAGAAACCCAAGGCTATACTCTATTAAAAAAGAAGATTATTCATTACTTTCACTTTCCTAAATTATTTTTTAAAGACCAAAGAATAAGCTCTATCTCTACATCTAGGGACTTGAACAATGGCTTTGTTCATCTGATCATTTCATTCAGCTTTATGCCTAACATTATTTATTTAGCACTGACAAATTGCTTAGGCAATGATGTGCATTATGGTGTCAACTGAAATAAACAAAGTAGTCACCAAATTAAATGGGACACTTATTTTTCCTTGAAGAGGTGGACCTTGAAATAGAAATTCGAGCTATTTATGCCTGGGATTAGTCTATCTAATCCCCTATCTAGTGATAGTTTGTTTAACCATTTTATAAAAAAGTATTTCTCTTGTGCAAAGCACATGTGCTGGGTACTTAAAAGATACAGAGAAGAATGAATGACAGGCAGGTAAAACCATGATATGCCAAAAGAGAGAGACAGTTATACAATAGCGCTACTGGCTCAAGCAAAAAGAATTGAAAGTACAGTTTATCTTGTTATTGAACATATTGCAAGTTTGATTCCTAAAGCTCATAAAGTGAAGAATCTTGAACTAGCAGGGTCAAACTTGTCTTGCTTATGTCACATTTTCATGGTGGTATGGTGGCTCAATGACCTTGGGCTGGAAAGATTATTTATGTAAATATATCCAACGGTGAGTTTCTAAGGGCAAATAATAAAAGTAAATAACCAACTTTTTACTTAATTCTTGATTATCTACAGGCATTACTGAATATAGTGTATTTCTAAATACAAGCAACCCTATCTTTCTTTGTCTTAATATCTTCCCTAGATGGTCCTTCTTAAGAAAGATGTGAAACATGGCATGGCTTTCCTGTTTGAACTCTGTCTCCTTTGTGGGAAATTTGCTTATCTTGACTTAGTTGTAGGCTGAGCAGCCTTCCCTTTGTGTGATAACAACTTTGATATAGTGGAGGGAAAATTCAAGTGTCCCTTCCTTTGAGGACATTATCACCAGAAACTTGACATCTTCAAAAAAACTGAAGATTTGATTTACCTGAACTTGGACCATTGGCTGTACAATCTCTTTCTTCAGGTTTGTAATATGATTTTGTAAGTAGAAAAAGAATTAAAAATTTTTCCGAACCTTCCCTTTCTAGCTTTTAACTTCCTTTCATGCTATTGAAATTTCAGTAAGTATCGTAAACTTGGCAAAATAAAACATATACTAATCGTTATTATATTGGTAATAATATATAAATATTTATCAGTATTAATTCATCTACATTCATTCTTAATATAAAATATAAAAAGTAGTTGCATCTTCATGTTGTTTCTTAATACAGATTAAATTGATAACAACAAATAAGGAATAAAATTCTAGAGTTACTGGGAATTGTAAAGGTAACTTAATCCAACTTTCTATGCTATGAGTGGGTCAGCCTAGCCACCCACAACCTGATTGTCGGTTTACAATACATTGTTGCTGGAGCAGATCTGTCTCAACACAGGAATAGGGCTCTGTTACGCTTTCTTATCTAAAGTACTAACTGAGCTACTCTTGGGTGTGGGTATCGCTTGTTCTAGCAATACAAAAGAGATAAGGTGTGGTCTTTCCCTTCCAAATGCTTTCTGTTAATTTGATGAAACACACATGTATTCATACAAAAAATAATTAATGACCCGCATTTCATAGACTGAAAGTGTCTGTCACAAAGTTCCCGTTGCCACATACATAGCTTCAAAGCATGCTGTCTGTTTACCTCAAAAATTAAAAAACAAAAACACTTGGGCACACACCATTTATTTGTATATACATTGGGAACTCTATTTCCTAACCAAGTCTTTCAGCAGAAGTACTGTTGCATACATTCATAATAGGCAAACAGTACGGAGGATCTAAAAAAGAAAATGACAGCATACAGTAAGTATAAAGCATTCCAACACAATTTTAGCCTATTTTTTGTCTTACGTGTTCAGATATATTCTTCTTGGTTATGATATTTTTACACAGAGCTGGTATCACAAAAATACTATATTTTTTTCTTTCTTACTTATGTCTGATTTTTTTCCCAGATCACTCTATCTATCTATCTATCTATCTATCTATCTATCTATCTATCTATCTATCTATCCATCTATCTACTTATCTAATCCATCCTCATCATCTATTATCTACCTAACCAATAGAACTATTAAATATGGGCACATCCAGAAAACACATGCAATTTGGCCTAAAAATCAACAGCTACAATATCATTCTTAGGTGATGGTCTTCCATTTCCTATTTAAGTTGCCTGAACTTGCATTATTTTCCTTTTAGATAACTGTTACAGTGTTTAGCTGCTGTATCTTTTTGAGACAGTCTAGACATGTTGTTAAGAAAACAGCTCTTACACGAATATGTTCTTTTCTATTCATTTCAAAAATAGTGCCATCCTAAGACAAACCCACCTGCATTAGAATCACGTGGAAAACTTTAAACGTATTATTTGTGGGCTCTTCTCCCAGAGACTTCAATTCAGTTATTTTGGGGTGGGGAGTCAGTACCAGAAGTTTTTAAAAGCTTCTGTGGATTAGAAACACTGATATAAATAAGTTTGGAAAGGAAGGCTATTAGAAATGAATCCAAAAGTGTTATTGAAAAAATCACCTAAATTTTGAAGAAAACTATAGAAAATCTGTAACAAAATATTTAACAAATTTGTGACTTGAATACTATATCAAGAGATCAAAATAAAATGCAAATGAAAATATAGCCTTAAAAGAAAACAAATTTTGATATAGGTTTATTAGTAATGTGAAAAGTATAATTTTCACTAACTTTTTCAGTAATTTTTACCTTAAATTCAGTATTCCATAAGTTTAGCAAAGAAAATCAGCACTAACTTCATTCCATAAAAGATAATTTAGGTAGTACAGGTATTGATCATAAAGAGATATATGTTTTACATTCAACATAAAATCAAGAAGTGATATTTAAAATTTACAAGGTCAAGAAAAGTGTTGATGAACATTAGAATAACTCGATTTCACTAAAACCTTGATTTGGCTTCTCATTTAAATAAATAATTTGGTGAAAAAAAGTAATGTATTATAATTTATCTGTAGAGCCCACTGGCCTTTATCTTTTTCCCAGAAACTGTTTTCTACCAGTTCCTCAATTTTCTAAATATGTCCTGTGTCATTGATAATTTCCACAAAGTGGATAATTTCCACTTTATTATTAAAACCATAAACAGAGAAAAGTTGAAAAAAATTGCACAGTGGACACCTGTACATTCGCCACTAGATCCTACAAACTTGTCATCTGTTTTTCAAAATATTGTTTCTTGGAGATGGTAAATACTGAAGGAATTTTGCTAATTTTGTCCCAGTGTGAATATCAAACAGTGTTATTTGCAAAAAGAAATTAAACAGAATTATAAGGTAAGACAGAGAAAAAAATACCAATGTCTCTATAGAGCAAAGGTAACATCTGAAGCACCAACGTAAATCCATTAACATACAAAACGTTCTTTGTAATGCAACCAAACCAAAGCAAATGCAAGGTATGGAAAATTGAGTTCATCATGGACCTTTGAGATCTTGCAAATTTTATCAATGTTCTAGGGAAAAATTACTGGTGTGCATAATGTTTTCAACAGTTTAAATAAAAGATTTCTCTCTTAATAGGCGGCTAAACTTCCTCTGCATTTGGATGATCAAAAAAACCTATGAAAGACACAATCAGCTTCTCCCTGAATTTCCGGTTTGTTTAATTCCTGAAGCAGAGAAAAATCAAATGTGGATAATACAGCTGACCTTTCAGAGAAAGTAACAGAGAAAAATATTTGTGCATGAATGGATGATGAATGAAGCTAACTCCTCTTTACACTCTTTTCAGGGTTAGTTGACTTTTTTTAGCATTCTATTACTAACATTTCAAGATGCGTTATATTACATAAACTGGGAAGTAAGTTTTAATTATTAATGTTTTTCTTTCTGTGTCTTTTAAAGAGAAAATAATCATTAACAAAAATATTAATCTTCACATTGCATAATTATTATATACAATCAAATATAAAATAACTTCATTGAAACACAGGACCTTTTCCATGGCCTGATGGCTCTAATAAACCTTCTTTTAGTTTTTTTTTGAGGTAAAATTTAGCTTTTTGATTCTCAGGTGTCAATTTTAATCTTTCTTACATGCTCACAAGAATGTTAACAAAAATGGCCATGAAAGAGAAAACGTCTTCAGAAGAATGTTCTCAAATAATATATTTTATAAGCTTCTGTTTTCAAAGACTGGCTTAATGAAGGAATAAATGAGCAAATACTTTCTCTGAAATATTTAATGTACAAAAGTTTCAATTTACAGAAGAGATATATTGGAGATTATTATTAATTATTTTGCAAAAGAATTATTTCCTTTACAAAATATTCAAACCAAGATTCTTTAACAGGATAGATCCTCTAGTAGTAATGACAGTCTTACAGCAAGAATAGGGCATGCATTGGAAATAGTAGCAGTAATAGTGGTATTAATAGTCTTAATAGCATAAAACTAAATCTAATAATATTATTAGTAAAAATAATTACATGCACTACATATTTTTAATGCTCCAGGCACTGTAGTAAGGACTTACTTTTCATTTTTGAAATTCATAAATATTTTAGACAGACTATACCAAAAATAACATAATGTTAATCAGTACCCAGTACCTAGCTGTGTCCATTCTTGCTATTTTGGCATATTTGCTTCACTTGTTTTCTTTTAAAAAGGAACATTTCATCTGTGATTAAATCCCTCTGGGAACTGTTCCCTGATTCTATTCCCAGCCCTCTTAGATATATTATTGATCATTTCCATGCATGTTTTAGTATAGTCCTTGCATATATATGCAATTATAAAAAACATATAATGCCTTTCTTATGCTTATAAAGGTTATATAAATATGCCATATTTTATATCCACTTCTGCAACTTTATCTTCTCTCAGTATTGTCTTTGCGATTAGCACATATGCACACACACACATTTATATGTATTTTTGGTTTATTGATTTTATTGCTGTGTAATTGCATGTACAGTTGTATGTATTATTGTGACAAAATATATTTATTTTTCTTATGCATAGTGTTTCAGCTTTACTCTATTGCAAACAGGACTACAATGATTATTGCTGGACCCATGTCCTCCTCCTTGTACACCTGGTTGTGAATTTCACTAGCGTATATCCACCCGGCAGAGGAATCACTGAATCACAGGCACACATTTCCTAAATTTACACAGTAACACATTGTCATCAAAGTACTTGCGTCCGTTTATCCTTCTAACATCTGCATGGGAGAGTTTCTTTGGCTTACATCCTATCAGCACTTGCTGTTGTCAGTTTTGTCAGTTCAATTGCAATGAAATATCTCTGTGTCTTAATTAGAATATCTCTTAATACAGGTAAGTTTGAGCATTTATTTCATGTATTTCTCTTTATTATTTGGGTTGTATCTTCTGAGCGCTAGTTCCTATATCTTGTCCACTTCCTTTGGGTCTTTTACAACATTTTTTCCTATTGATCTATAAGAGTTCTGGTGCCTTTTTCTTAGGTGGAATGAATTGTGGGAAACACTCAATTTCTGATTCAATTTTTGATTGTTACTGACCACTTAAACAGTTTATTATTAACTTAATTACTTTAAAAGTAATTGAATTAACTTGTACATTAAGTGTTATATATGTATACACATTTTATGTATATATACATAATATATTGTCTTTTAAAACATACTTCCATTTTTTACAGTTTTATTGAATAAGATGTACATTCCAATTGTTCAAAATAAAAGCTGCCTCTCGCTGCTGCCCACTCCTAGCAGTTTCGTTCTTCTCCTTGTAGGACACTAATGTTTTTTGTGAAGTATTCAGTAGATATTCTGTGTATCTATAAATACATAAAATACTATTATAATTTTGAAATACCACTAAATCTATAGTTATGCTCCTCTTTTCATTCTTAATATTAATACATGTCTTCTTTGCTTTTCCTTCTCAGTTTTGCTTGAGTTCTATCTTCTTATTCATTTTTTAAAAAGTATACAACTGCTCATTTGCCTCCATTAAGACCTGCCATTGATTCTTTGTTTTCTATGTATTTATATTCCTAGCTTTATTTCCTTACTCCTTTTTACTTCAAGTTTTCTTGGGGGTTACCTTTTTAATCTCCTTGATTTGAAAGCTTAACTCATTTATTTAGTAGATATATGTGAAATACCAATTTTGACTGGATCTGTCTCATTCTCCCTATATTCTGTTAAATATTGCTTTATATATTTTAAATATGTTGTTAAGTACATACGAGTTTATGATTATTGTGATTTTTGTGTTGTTATTTCTTTCATGTAGATACAGTCACCCTCTATATGTCTATTAATGTTTTAAATTTACAATCTATGTCTTCTGATATTAATACTTCCATTGGATTGTTTTGATATGTTTTCATGACACCTATTTTTCCACACTTATAAAATTTTTAAATTCATCTCTGGTGTTCTTTTGCATAAATCTTGGCAGCATAAATCTAGATCTTGTTTTTGTATTAAAGACTAGTAGATTATATGTGTTTTTTAATAGGTTGGTTTAATTTTTTTGCAATTATTGTTCTTACTGTTATCTTTGTACTTGTTGACAACATTTTATTTTGCATTTTGCTTACCATCTCATTTCTTTGCTTTTAAAAAGTACTTTCTTTTCTGCATTTCTCTTTAACTGAAAATAATTTTATTTTGTTTATCCTCTACTGTTTATAAAAGACAGATCTTATTGTTAATTATTCATATGTTTTCTTAATTTTCTCATCGACTTATTTAACTGTAAAATATCTTTAAAAATCTAAGTCCATCTAGTATTTCTTTTTTCTTCCTGAATAGGACAGACTTTTAGCATGTGTTAACTACCCATCAACCTGCTCCATGTACTCTCACATTATTGTTTGCTATGTTTTTAGTTTCACTTTTTTATTAAACTGGAAATGCAGGTTTTCTTTACCTTTGATAGAAAATTAATTTACTGACACATGATCGATATCTGCATTTCACTGTATTTTTAATATAGCTTCTATTCACTCTCGTTCCATTTTTCTTCTTGCTGAAATAAATCTTTAGTAATTCATTTAGAGTTTGAGTCTAAACAGTAAACTCTCTTAGCCATTGTATGTCTGAAAAAGTCTTTATTTTTTTCCTTACGTTTGATAGATCATTTATCCATACGGAATTTCTAGAATAGTAAAAACTTTTCTTCACAGTTTTCTCTGCCATTTTTGTATCTTTTGTGGCTGATGAGAAGTTGGGATTAAGTGAGTAGCCACTGAAGGGTCTTATGAAGAAGAGTGATATATTTTAATTTCTATTTGAGACATGTCCTTCCGGTAATTTTTGAAGAGTTTGAGGAGGACAGGTCTAAAAATGGATCAGTTAGAAAAAATTTAGAGCAGGCAACATATGATAAGGGCCTGAGTTACAACAATGGTAATAGAGTTGGAGGAGAGTCTAAATTTATAAAGTATTGAGGTGCTATAGAATAACCATAAGACTAAGACTAAGAATGTCCCTATTGACTAATGGATACAGATGGTGAAGGATAATTAAGGATGATTCTTAATTTTTTAGCATGGATAAATAATGGATATTAACTAGCAGATAATAGGAAAGGAAGGAGGAAGGACAAGATTATAGCAAAAAATATGAGGTTGATTTGGGACCTCCTGAGTTTGAGTTTCCTGTACGTTGAAATGTTCAGGAGACTGTTGGGAAAATGCACATGAAGCTCAGGAAAGAGATGGATGCAGGGAAGGGGAATGTGTCCATTGGAGAGGCTGAAACTGCTGAACAGCTGAGTTCCACCAGGGACAGTGCAGAGTGACCGAGCGTTGGGTTGAGGGCCCAGCAGTGTTTCCTGGAGAGGGATGCTGGATCCCTGCCTTAACAGCCAGACCCAGAGCCTGCACCCTTTGATTTTCTAGGTGGCAGGTACCTTCCTGTCTTGTTCTGCCTATCAGCTGGGCTACACAGAGCTTCATACTCAACTTCCAGTGATAAACATTTCTTAAATGGTGACTGGACTTTCTAAATCCCTTGGAGATTTTGCCTTGCTGGGCCAAGTATAAAGCTACTGGTTGCTGGGTTCCCTATCTGGAATCCCTGCTTCCTTTCCTAAGAGGCAGAGCCAGAACTAGCCCTGGGCTCCCTCCTCCCTCCTCCACGCCTGACTTGTCTCCCCGCGAGCAGACTGCTCTCATCAGCTGAGAAACACCTGGATATCACCACCTGCAAACCACTACATGTCACTTTATAGAGTTATGTATACCTGGAAATGTTATATTAAAATTGAACACACAGAATTAATAGATATGAAATTATATCAACCAGCTTCAACACACACTTGAGAAAATAAATTAGAAATGAGATACAGTGGTCCTCTCTTACCCACAGTTGATACATGCCAGTACTCCCAGTGGATGTCTGCAATAGCAGATAACATTGAACCCTGTATATACTATGTGTTTTCCTTTACATACATACCTATGATAAAGTTTGATTTATAAATAAGGCACAGTAAGAGATTAGCAGCAAAAACTAATAATAAAGTAGAACAATTTTAACAATGTACTGTAATAAAGTTATGCAAATGTGGTCCATCTTTCAAAATACCTTATTCTACTACACTCATCTTTCTTCTTGTGATGATGGGAGATGATAAAGTGCCTACATAAGGCGATTAAGTGAGGTAAATGATGTAGGCTCTGTGATGTAGCGCTGTTGGCTTTCTAACAGTATGTC